GAGCGGGGTTCTCTCCACGAGGCCGCCCCACTACCATCCGAGAAGCAGTGGGGGGTGATTTATCTATTTTTCTGTGCATTTCCATTTAATTAGATTAATTTTTTAGCAGAAGTTGTCCTCTCTTGTCCCGCCATTGTTATGATGGAGTGGGAAGTTTCAGCATAGTCGTCATCCAATATCCGTCCGGTAAGTATAAGTAATACATTTGGCATCCTCCAACAGTGAGTATCCTCTATCCCGCGATGTTACATTGAGGGTGAGGATTACAATGTTCCAATCGTCGAGGAGTAATTACTCAGGTAAGAAGTTTTAAAATACTTGATAGATTCAAATCATATCCTGATTTATATATATTACAAAATAGCTGCTAACCAGCCAAAGATATGACTAACAGAATATAACTATTATTTATTCATAGATTTAACAATATGGGAATGGGTCAACTCGACGTGTGGGCGGGACTCTCCTCCGCTACTCCCTCGAAACACAGCAGATTGCCGTCCCCAGTAGCTCCCAGAACTTCATATCCAACAAAGGAGGATAAATACTATCTACGCTGACCTCAAAGCCAAGTCCCTGCGAAAAAACATGCCTGGAGGGTAGTCTACCAGGACTACAGAGACTGGAAGAGGTGTGTGTTCCAAAGAACAGATAATAATGTGTTCTATTTATAAGTCTGCCAGTTGAGACACTATTACCTAGCAGAACTATTGTCTAACGCTCCTAATCATGTTGCTAATAATATTGTGGCGGTCACTGCTTCGCGAACACACCATCGACACACCGTCGCGCGCAGTCCCGCGCCGGATGGTGGTTCGTGCGCCCGCCACTAGATGGCAAGTCGAGAAATCATTTTCTCGTGTTTGAAACGCTACACCGGACACTATATAAGAGCGGTACTCGGCATCGCTCTTCGCCTCAGTCGCCTCGAACCAAGTCACTGGTAAGAGCTGCACTGCGACGCCCTCCGAGCTCTGGAGGCCAGCCTTGGCCTCATTGCTCGATAAACGGCAGTTTTTCCTGCTGGCAATTACCGACCTATATTCGGTCGTACTCCCCGCGGCAGTTAACGCCGCGGTTACCTCTCCGGGCTTAAGTCTGACGGCCGTGAACGCCGCCAAACCGGCCTTGCCCTTGACGGCCGTGAACGCCGCCACTTCCTTCTGGCCCACGTCTGACGACCGTGAACGCCGCCAAACCGGTCACACCTCTGACGGCCGTGAACGCCGCCAAGTCCTTCCGGCTCTGCCTCTGACGGCC